ATTTATTATTTGTGTTAATAATGAAAATAGTAGCCCTTGTCTAAGAGTATATTTTCAAGGGCTACTTAGGGATGGGAATCTGAATTAGGCTTTGGAATCTCAAACATCTGTGTTGACACTGTACTGATGAACACAATAGCCAACAAAAGTGACGTAAGATATTCTACATGCTCCCCTGTGGCTTCTTTGATTCTTGAAGGAAACCAGTGCCCACTGAAACCACAGATTTATACCAAATGAAAGTTTGTGCCTCATATCTTCTCCCCTGTTGAGAAAACTGTTTGATTCCCTCCTGACACTGATGGGACTTTTCTCTTGTGTGTCTTTTCTTATGTCGGAAAAGATGTGAGCTCTGACTAAAGGCTTTTCCACATTCATGGCACTTGTAGGGTTTTTCCCCTGTATGGGTTCCTCTATGCTGAGTAAGGACTGCACTTCAGCTAAAAGCCTCTGCACACTCATCGCATGCATAAGGTTTCTCCCCACTGTGGATTCTCTGATGTAGAATAAGGGTTGAGCACTGACTAAAGTTTTGCCACATTCATCACACTTGTGCTGTTTTTTCTAGAGGGGTTTCCTGTCATTTTTCAAATTCGTCATCTTGTTTGCAGGTTCCCCTATATGTTAAACTCTGGGAAGCATTCATAACAAGGGTGTGAGAAACATCATAATGCACTTCTATGTCTGAAAAAGTCTTTTCCCTGGAAGCTAATTCCACACGTATAGTTTTGGTATCTCCATCTGAAATAATAAACAGAAAAGCAAACATCACTAGTCTTCTATTCAGAAAGAAAGAAAGTGAAATAGAATGATCTTAATGAAATAAACATAGAATAATTACCAGCTCGCATGTTTGTAAGACAACATCACACTGTGGAGGATGGAGGTGATAAGACAGAAAATACCGACGAGAGCACAAGCAAAGAGAAAGTTCACACACTAAAGAGAATGTCGATTAGAAAGATGCAAAGGTTGTGCAGAAAGGAAAGTAATGAATAGGAGTAAAAAGTTATCTCAGAGACTATGGAAAGTTGAGGAAAAGAAAAAGCCTAAAAGATGAGGAATTGCTGAAGAAGCAGAGGCGCATGTGGAAGGAATCAAGTGTGGCAGTGGGTGGTGATAAGGTTTAGTACAAGAGTATCAATAAACAAATAAAAGGCTGACGAGAATAAATGAACGCATAAGTAAGCAAAGGAAGAGGCTGAAGAAAGCCAGAAAGGAGTCCTAGCAACTGGTACACCATCCAATCTGCAA